GACGGAGGCAGGAGTGGGTCAACAACCTCTGCGTGGACACTGCGCTCTCCGAGATGGTCGCGACAAAGAGCACGGGGCAACCTCCTCCAATTACGATGCACCAATCCTTTTGCCTGCGGATATGCGCCAATGGGCTGACCAGGGAAGTCGGTCCTTCAATGATCCTTGGGGCTGATCATGGGCACAGATCGTGCAGGGGGTTCGTTGCATGTGTTTTTTCTTGCGCAGGAGATGCTCTCTGCGCCTCTCTGCTCCATGTTCACACTGCCGTCTTCTACCAACTTCGCTATGTTGAAACCTGGGTGCCCTGGGAGAGGGAGAGAGTGGGTACAGGTTAGGTTGTAGTAATGAGGGGGGAGGGCAGAATCCCCGGAATCGGATAGCTGCTTTATTTTTGGGGAATGAGCTGCTGGGATTGGGCGTTGGCTTGTGGGGTAGGGTAGAGCGAGGATATGTAAGTTGATTGAGGGTAACTGAGGTTTCCGCCATCTCAGCGCGTGCTGCCTATCCTTGGGTGCCCGGGGAGCAGATCGCAAGGCTGCTAACCATACCGATGATTAGGGAGGAGCACTCACATTCTTGTTCTACCCTGGGCAGTACAAGTAGTCATAACACGTAGGATCCCGGGAGACATGCAGACATGACTCAGATTTGTATTACCTTATAGTACTCTCGTGGAGGAGAACAATATCTTGTATCTTCACTGTTCCCCTTCTCCCTGTGTGACACGCGATCTGCCGGTAAGAAATAACTCTAAATAACAACAATTAAACACCAAATGACAAACGTGGCCAGGTGAACATTCTGGGGTGATCTTACAACTGGTGGCTGGATTTCACTGACATTCTCAGGCTGGGAGGGGGCTTAGGGATTGTCTCGATAAAGGGAAACCGTGCGGGATACACATCGACAAACAATGGGACGGGTTCCGCCTTCTGTGATTGGGCTCAAATGGATGATCTAACTTGGCCTAAAATTAGACGGGCAGTCAATCCCCTTGGAAGAGGGTAATCAATGCTGTCCCGCTTGACCTAATTGTTTGATATGACCTTCTCCAATCTTGTAAGTGGGACGCTGGACCCAGTTTCCAGCAGGTGCTGCTCCCCACCAATAGACTGGAGCCATCTATCACGGGTCTTGAATGATGTTGTCCCATTGGTGGATGCTCGTATCACCTCCCAAAGGTAGGCTCCCGCAGATGTTTTTGTTAAAAATAAAAAATAATAAAATAATAATAAAATATATAATTCGCAGATCTCCCTGAAGGTGTGTAAATATCAGCACAGACCTGATGTTCCTTGTTCCTAAATGTATGTCAGCGAACAGCAGGTCTTGAATGATGCTGTCTCATGACACCCGTTTCCCGGTCGGGCTCACAGCCAGGCCCAGGGCAGGGCAAAATTTTTGGTTGCCTTTTGAATTTGCGGCACGTTCCGCATTTTGTCAGCTGCCTGTTTGTCCGTTTTGGGCTTATGCAGGGTGTTCCTATTGTACAGTGCGTGTGCACTCTTGCACGGTTTCACAATTCATTTGTTTTGTGGCGTGGCGCGCTTAGTGGTTATGCGCAGTGGGCGCGCGCTCTTGCTGGTTTCCTGTTTCATTCATTTTGTGGTGCGGCATGCCCTTCGTGGTTTTCTTCAGCGGGCGCACCCTCTTGCCGGGTTTCACAATTCGTTTGTCTTGTGGTGTGGCACACACTTTGTCGGTTTTTTCAAGGCGCATGCTCGCTTTGTTGCAGCAGGATTCGCAAGAATGCTTGAATACAAGTGCATAGCAGATGGATTGGCAAGGGACGAAGCATCCTCGATTCCAGATGTCCTTTCTTTTTTCTTTTCCATTTCTTCTGGCTTGAACTCAGGTCTCTGTGTCAACAGTCAACAGGTGCACCAACTGAGGGCTTACCCACCGAAGGACTTTTTCGTGTCGTTTAGGCGGCGCACGCTCTGTGTGTATTCTGCTATCTAGGGGGGGCATGTTTCGTTGTCATCTGCCGAAGGTAGCCGCCTTGGAGCACAGGTTTCGCTGAATGTTCGAAGTGACCTCGGTTCTCGATGGATTCTTTTAATTCTTTTTCTTTCCGTATTTTCTTTTTCCCTTTCCTCATCATCTCATTGCAGCTGGATTTGAACCTGACTACAGTTGATGGGTGTAAAAACCGTAACAACGTAAAGGGCTTATTACTTACACTAAGACTTTTTTACATTTTTCCAGACATAACTGCGGTCAGATGCATCCAGGTCCGCCTTTAGCCCGTTGGTTCAAAAGTTTGTCTATCCTTCTTTCTGTGGTGTTTTCTTTTGAAAGGGTCATTGCCTTGAGATGGTATAACCCACGACCCACACACTGTCATCTAGGCCAGATCATACTGCTCAGCCCACATACTGCTGCCTGGCCACAGGAAGGGCAGAGCTGTGTTGCCCGCCATAATGTCACTCACGACCTCCTGAATGCCACTTGCATGTGAAACCAACTGAGATATAGGCCGCTGGCTCACAAAGCGGGATTATCAATCAACCCCCAATACGTGATCAAACACTGCATAGACCGGTGGTTCTCCCAGATATTTCTGTGAGGACCGGGGGACAAAGACGGGTGTAATCCCCCCTCGGAAGCCGGGGGGAGTTGAAAAACCCTCGTGACAGAAAGGTCTCTTAGAGCAAGAGAACCCCCTCACAATAGAGCCGACAAGCTGACAAAAGACAGAAATGTGCACAGCTGAAAAGCAAACAAGCACGCATGGGGAGCGCAGTAGGGCAGCAGCGAGAGAGTGTGCAGAAGGAGGCAGAGGTGGGCACAGACAGTCACACACACACACACACACACACACACACACACACACACACACACACACACACACAGGGGTCACCCTCAACAACACGAGAGAGAGAGAG